TATGCATGGGTGGCAGTCTGGTTTGCATCTTACTTTGGGTGCAGGAATATAATCGTGACTGAGTAGGTGCCTGGATCCTTGTACTTACCTAGTACTCTGCCTGAAATACTTCCCACAGGTCCATTAGATACTTTTAAAAGTAGATATTAAATAATTGGATTGGATGTATCAGGCCCTTCTGTAAAATCCTCATTCTTTAGCCAACATGCATAAAAGTGCCAGTCATACATTCCTGTGCACTGGCCGACATAGTAAATGGTTTTATTTATGCCTCGATAAGCTCAGCCAAAAGATATAAATCCAATAAATAGTATAAACTGAGCCATGGAAATAATAAACTTCAAATTCATGGAAAGTCTAGTGTTTCACTAATGGGTAAAAAATATATATTTAATGGCTGCTGAGTGACACTTGGCTGAAAACTGAAAACTTAAAGTTTCATTCACTTGCCAATGATATTCCTGACTTTTTTCTATTTCCTTGACGTTTGTTCCCTTTTGCTGAGAATTTGCTTCTTATCTCCCTTAGTACAATGAACAAGTAGCATTCCAAGTTGCTGTTTTGCTCCTTTTTCTTTGATATTTTGTTGCTTCACTGATCCTGTTCTGTGTGTTTATGTAGCACAGCCTCACACAGTACTGTACTTCACTTTGGGTTACAAATTCTGCTGGAGGGATTGAGTTGGAAGCTGTGATGTGAGAATATGATGGTAGACTGGTGTTCATATAAAGTAGGAGAATCCTGAAAGCAGCAAAATGACTCGTGATTGTATAATACAGAGAATATAGCTTTGCCTTTTTAATTGCAGTTATTGCAGAATGTGGATCTACAGTGGTCCGTAGAGGCAATGCAACAGTAGTAGCCTGACTCCTGATGAAGCATGAACAAGTTAGTTATATTTCATACTCACTTCATAATCATAGTACTTACATTTTTATGAACATTTTCATGGTCACATGCACCATGAATTCTCAGAGTAATTAAATGCTATGTGTATGTTTTCTGTGCTGTCAAGACAGAACTGACTTATAGCAACCTTAATAGGGCTTTCAAGATAAATGAGATACTGTACTTAAGGAGTGGTTTACCAGTAAGTTTCCATGGCCAAGTGGGGATTTGAACCCTGTTCTGATCTGTCACTCTCTCTACTACACCACACTGGAAATCAATACAAGGTAATATTGAATATGCATTAATGTCAGCTTTGTATTGTGCATAGTTTTAGGATTTTGAAGTCAGACCCCAATGAATCTCTGAAGATCCTCAACAGACAATAGTTATTATTAGAGATGGGGGTATTCACATTTGTATACAAATATCCGTGTGCAGCTGGACTTAACGAGGGGCTGGCCCCTGGGGCCAGACTGTCCACAAATGCATCAGGCAGCGGCCTTGTTCATCCTTCCAATCGCAGCTGGAGTGCTGCTCTCTTCCTGCTCGCCTGGCCACTCCCGGGGGGGAGGGAGGATGAGTCTCCTTGCATGACTGCCGAGTGGCCTGCCAAGCAGGAAGAAAGTGGCACTCCGGGCGCGGTTGGAAGGGTGAGTGAGGCCAGTGGTGGTGGACATGTGAGTGAATGGTCCAGCCTCAGGGGCTGGACCCTCATTAAGTCCAGCTGCATGGGGATATTCGAATACAAATACCCACATCTCTAGTTATTATATCTAAAATGCAAGGTCAGCTATGTTGCCCATAAAAGGGGGGGGAGATATGAAAATCCATTTGAAGGTAATACCTTTATTAAGAGACTCAGTTCTCTAGAGCAGCCATTTTCATCGGGGAGTGTCATATGGTCCCCTAGGGGCAGGCCTGGGCAAAGTGCAGCCTGCGGGCCACATACGGCCTGCGAGCTGCTCCTGTCCAGCCCGCCGGTCGTTACTCCTGTCCGGCCCGCCAGTCGCCGCTGAGAGAGCCGGAGCTCCGGCTACGGTCACCCAGCACGCCAGTAAGCAAAACTCATGAGATCTGATGCTGAATACCTGCTTTTCACTAGCTGTTTACCCTCCTACAGTGCTCCCATTTGCTTTGCACTCATACTTCAATGATCTGTGGTCAGGAAAGCTTAGAAATCATTGTTTATAAATACATTGTCATGCCACATATTATCTATTTACATTCGACAAAATTGCATGGATGGTACCTCGTTCCTTGTAATAAAAAATACATGGGCATATTGTCTCTTAACAGTATTATATGGAGTCTTGGTTTTAAAATAACAACAACAGGACCTAAAGGGTGTATTGAACAATCCTTCATCTTGATGTATGGAGCTTTGACAAAACAAAAGTTTTCTGCTGATTCTATATTTTCCTATAATAAACTGTACTTTTCAGAGAGTTTAAAAAACAACAACCCTGCTACATTTTAAGAGAAACTACTTAAAGTAATTACCACTTCCAAAGTAAATTCCAGTATTAGATCTCATAGATTGTGATTGGTTTCCTATAAAAGGTTGCTGAACAGATTTGCATTTTTTCTATGTTAGCAAGATTGACATTGAATAAGAATACGTACTAACATTTAAACTAATGTTTGTGGTTGTCATAGTATAAATATTTGTGTGGCATACAATCTGTTTGATGTGAGACTTCAAAGTAGAAAAGAAAAAATTAAGGGATGATAGGAAATGCCCCTCCAGATGCTTAAACTGAACAGTTTTTCATTGATTTTCCTGGGATACTTTGGTTTCCAGCCCCTGTCATTATGTTCAATAATTGCTTGCATTCTAACACATTTTCCTGTAAGCACGTTTTCTCTGCAAAAGTGTCCTATTTGCCTCTCACTGACATTCCAACTTTGTTTTGTATAGTTGATTACTATTTATACAGAAATTAAAAGAGCTACCATTGAAGCAGCAATTGTTCTAGTATGACTACATTCCTACCATGTCACTCTAAGATTTCTTCAGATGATCCATTCTTCACTTTACCAAGGGATAATTTATCTTTTGTTGTTTAGTTTTTAAGTTGTGTCTGATTCTTCATGACCATATGGACCAGAGCACACCAAGCCCTCCTGTCTTCCACTGCCTCCCGAAGTTTGGTCAAATTCCTGTTGATCGCTTTGATGACACTGTCCAACCATCTCGTTCTCTGTCGGCCCCTTCTCCTTTTGACTTCACACTTTCCCAATATCAGGAAGTCTTCTCTTCTCTTCTCATGAGATGGCCAAAGTATTGGAGCCTCAGCTTCAGGATCTGACCTTCCAGTGAGCTCTCAGGGTTGATTTCCTTCAAAATTGATAGGTTTGTCGTCCTTCTAGTCCAGGGGACTCTCAAGAGCCTCCTCTAGCACCACAATTCAAAAGCATCAATTCTTCGGCGGTCCAGCTCTCACTTCCATACATCGCTACTGGAAAAACCATAGCTTTGACTATACAGACCTTTGTTGGCAAGGTGATGTCTCTGCTTTTTAAGATGCTGTCAAGGTTTGTCATCGCTTTCCTCCCAAGAAGCAGGGGTCTTTCAATTTCGTGGCTGCTGTCACCATCTGCAGTGATCATGGAGCCCAAGAAAGTAAAATCTGTCACTGCCTCCATATCTTCCCCTTCTGTTTGCCAGGAGGTGATGGGACCAGTGGCCATGATCTTAGGTTTTTTTGATGTTCAGCTTCAGACCATTTTTTGCGCTCTCCTCTTTCGCCCTCATTAAGAAGTTCTTTAATTCCTTCTCACTTTCTGCCATCAGAATGGTATCATCTTCATATCTGAGGTTGTTGATATTTCTTCCAGCAATCTAATTCCAGTTTGGGATTCATCCAGTCCAGCCTTTCGCATGATGTATTCTGCATATAAGTTAAATTTATCTTTAACATATGTTAATTACCATGGTATTTAAGAATACTGAAAGGATGAATGAATTTCCTCAATATTATAAAGAGTATTTATTATTGCTCCACACATTGCAGAACCCAAAAAGAAACATTTAGAAGGGAAAACTTTTAAAAAGATGACAGCCAGTTATAATGCCACCTTCCCTATTTTAAATTACATGATTTCTTGTGCACTACTACGCATGAAGATCTGATGGCCATGCTAGGCAATAAAATTAATATGTCATTAAAAGCAGAGTTCCCATTGTTAGGGGAGAATACTGTACTTTATTTTCATGTGAGCTTGCCTCATTCCATTTGTATAGCAAATTAGTCAGCTCTGGTTTTCTAATTGGTCAAGTAGGAGTTTGCATTGTTTGGTTTACATGTCTGAGGTTTCAGGCAAGATAGATATGTAAGCTTGGAGAGTTAACCTTGGTATTTGCTTTATCCTATGATCAGACCCTTTGTGTTTTCAGCCACTTCTGGTATGGGGCCACTGAAGATATACATGATCTTGCTGTTTTAATTCCAGTTTACTCAATAGCTATTCATTATCAGCAGAATCAGCAATCCCTTTTAAGGATTGCAAATATATGATACTGTGTTGCTTGCACTGCAATATGTGAAAGGGAAAAGATGCACCTACCCCTAAAACCATCTGGAAAGGCCCTAAGGACAACAATCTGTGCATTTTAGTTGAAAGTAAAGAAGAAAAGATGTTTAAGACTGACCTGCTTGTATATATAAACATGTCCTACTCTTTGCCTATAGAACAGTAAAAATATGCTTGTTTATTCTGCATGGTGAAAAACGACCTGAACACCAAGATCAGGGATGAGATGGGGCTCGGTTATGTCTCTGAGCCAGTTTTAAAGATTGTTATGATTTACGTTTGGCATGGCTCTGAAAGCTTAGCTTAATTTTTAAAGCACCCAATGAGAATAATTCCTCCTTGAATACAGTTAGAAAGAAGGGATATTGATTTAGAGCTTTAAAGCTGGGGGTTATGGATTAAAAAAAAAAGGAGGGGGGAGAAATGCAGGAGAGATTTAATGTTGGAAGAGTTGGCTGCATAAGTGTTTGTCTTTGGTAAAGAGGTTTTGCTGAGCACAGTGTAAAGGTTAGCAGTTGTGTTTGAAATCTAGTTGGCTGGCAGCTGGAAGCCAGCTGTGGGGAACTCCCTGAATTGTGGTTTTTCAATCCCGTGGAAATGCCTGATGTGTACTCCCAGCCTTTTCTCTGCTACATACGTGAAGTGAATTGGGTCTGTTTCCTACATTGAGACTTATAAAAGTTGCTTCAGCTTTCTGAATGCTTTTTCATTGCCTGGTTCAAGGAGGCTGAAAGGAGGAAGAAAAAAAATCAGAAGGAAAGAATCTGAAAAAATTAAGTTTGCGTTCAGGTTTGTCCTGTCTATTCCTTTGTGCTCAAAGTGGTAGTAGTGAAAACTGGTCAAATCACTTGTCTGTCTTCTGAACGGGGAGTCTGAGGGTTCTGCTTTTCATTCTAAAAACATATAGCCACCTATTCTAGACAAAACATTCCTGCCAACTATCTCACTTTTTTAGAATAGGGTAAGGAAACAAAGGAAATTGAGGAATTCTTGGTTTTGCTGCCTTCATTCTTACTTTGCACTTTTGCCTTCTATCCTGCATAGTACTTTCTTTGAAGTAGATGTGATGCTATCTCTTAGGTAGTCTTTTGATTGCTGTAATCAGTGGAATTGAAGACCTCTCCCTTGTGCTCCTTGTTTCTTGTCTCTGAAGTGATGCTTGTGAATGAAGTCAGGATTCCAGCTGTTATTAGTATGCATGGTTATTCTGCTGCATTAATTCAGAGTATATGTGATCTTGTCTGTACCACAATCTTCCTCTCTGCCTTTCAGATTCTTTCTGAGTATTGAAGTTGTAAAAATGTAAGAGTAATGACATTGCAATTTGTTCTAATTTGCATAACTGTATAACATTGAAATGTCTTTGCAGGCAGTAAGTACTTCTGGTTCTGCTCACATACCTCTGCATGCACATAGAGAAGTAGCAAAGGAATTGTTTGATTAGTTCAAACCAGTATGTGAAGTTCAAGGTCCACTTGCTCTTGCTACTTATCTTTTGATGCCTCTTCTGGATTGTCAGGTCAGGAACAGATGACACCCTAAGTGCTCCCTTTGTGCTTTAAGCACAAAGAATAGTACTACATAGTACTAATAGTACTACTAAAAGAATAGTAGCCTTGTTAGATTCTCACGCTTGCAGTGTAATCCATCCCTGGCCCACAGTCTTCAGCTATCCAGCCCATGTCCATTTCTTTCCTGGAAACAGGTCTCAGGCTTCTTCTGGCTACACTTCATGTGAGATTTTTGGTACAATCTTTCCTTCTTCAGCTCTGTTTTCTACCAGCCATATTTTCCACAGGTTGCTGTTTTCCATTCCATCACCACTTCTTTAGTTGCCCTGTCTTATACAGTAGCAAGACTCCATAGAGTTTCCTCATAAGTTGCAGACCATCCTGGCATGACGTACCGTTACAGTGGGGTCTTGACTTGAGAACTTAATCCGTATTGGAAGGCGGTTCTCAAGTCAAAAAGTCTGTAGGTCAAGTCTCGATTGACATACAGTGCATTGAAAACCGATTAATCCCATAACCGGCTGTTTTTGTTCCATTTTGTTTTTTTTCTGGTCTGTAAGTCAATTCTCAGGCTGCAAGTCAAACCTAAATTTTGCGGCCAGAGAAGTCTGTAACTCAAAAAGTCTGTAAGTCAAGCCATCTGTAAGTCAAGGGTCCACTGTATTATGTTCCAGGATTCTTTACTGCATCAGGTCCCTGTGTCCTATGTGACAGCCTTGCTCTCAGGGCAGCTGGACCTTTTGCACCCCACTTGAGCCAATCACTGATGTGGCCTTTGTTCCTCCAAGCAAAATACGATTTTGGTTGTTCTGGGTTTTTCGGGCTCTTTGGCCGTGTTCTGAAGGTTGTTCTTCCTGACGTTTCGCCAGTCTCTGTGGCCGGCATCTTCAGAGGACAGCAACCTGTACTCTGGTTTTATATAACACATTCATGTCTTTGTGTTGAAAAAAGTCAAGACACTGAATGGATTTGCTCCTCAAGAAATACAGAAATTGTGATTTACAGTCGCTTACGGTATACATAGCTGCATGCTCTGTAACCAGCACAGATGTTGCAGTCTCTCTCTAACCAGGCTTATTTACAAGTGCCTCTGGCACCAGGCTTTTGTTTGATCTTTTAGCCTCCATTAGCTCCCTCTGTAGATTCAAGGAAGTGCTGACTCTGAGAACAGCTTAATTTGCTTTCTCTTTTTTCTTTCATTTGAGTTGGGGAGAATGATCCATTGTAGTTGATTAGATGCTGGTTGTGGAAAGTGAGAATGGGAAATTGACTCCTTGCATCCAGACCGGAATTTCTGTGGTTCTGACAGAGTCACCCACACATTAATGACAGAGGTACTCCTTCCTCTTTGTGATGCGTATTATATTGTTAATAAGTATAGCTTCTGGTTATATATTATTTTTCCACATTTTTATTTTTATCTGGAAGTAACCCTAATGATTAAGCTGGAATCCATGTCTGAACAGTAGAATGGAATTCTCTTACCATCTGTGGCCTTTTTAATTCTGGTTAACAGCTCTTGACGACCAGAACTCCCTGTTGGAAAAGTTTTCATAAATGCCAGTTTCTCTCCTTTCTCTACCTCTGTATTTCTGCGTGAGGGTGGAGCTGAAGATATATCTGGAAGAACTAACATAACATTTTAAAAAATAGCTAGGTGGGTATTCAATTTTTATTCTGCAGTAGAGATCAGTGATGTATAATTGAACACTTTCCTTCTGAATTCACCTTAACAGAGCAACAATACAAATTTCAACAGTATTTGCAACTTGAATATTCATAGTGACTTGACTAAATGTTTCCTAATTAAGATAGTGCTTACTTTAAGGATGTTTGTTACAGCAAGGTATCATTAACTTGTTATGTAGACAGACTGCTTGGGGGCTGATTTAAAGCTACCTAAATTCTGTTAGGGAAGAAGCTTGATGGAATAAAAGTGTAAAACATCACTCTTCCCTCCCCCTCTTAGTTCTGTGTTCAGATTGGGAAGAGCTATCCAATATGTGCCCACAAATCTTAGCACTTGCACATTGCCCTCTGTGTCTACCTGAGGCAGACGGATTTCAGGACATGGAAAATTAATCAGAAAAACCCAATAACCTATAAGTCATCTGAGTGTGATTAATGCTTCTTGAAAGTGAAAGGTGGTAAGATGGTAGCTTGGGTTGTCTTGCAAGGCTAGCAGTTTTTCCGTGAGAGCAATTAGTTTCAGACATTGATCCAATAGATTATGTAAGCCAAAAAATTGATGCATGTTGCATTATTAAGGTTTTTACCACTGTACTAAATTAGGTTTGCAGGCAGAGTGGTGCTGAAAGGCAGTAGGTTGCATATGCAACCAATTTTCTCCTGGAGATGCAATAGAGGGGAGAAGCTATAACAGGAGGCAAGATTTATAAGTAGGCCTATCTTAGGTTGGAAGTATTACTGTTGTGATGCCTTGTCTTCTGATTTCTTGCCTCAATAACTGGAAAGTGCCTCTTCTGAATAATATAGATTTGTAGCTTTCAATACTTAATATTAAATTATTTCACAATATTTTTAAATTACACTAATGGCATGTGGAAGTTTCTATGAAAACTATAACATTTATCTAAATTGCACATTCTCCTTTACTTATGGTTAGAAACCAAGCTGTCAACTGCTGTGTTGGAGGAGGCCAATGCCTGGAAGCACTTTATATTTGGTGTTTGAAACCGTATTTATTATGTAGATTCAGTATAATCATGTATGGCATTTTTTAAGAATTAAAAGTTTCTTTAACGGGATTTTCAGTCTGGTTCCCAACTGTGGAAATGAGCTTTAAAAAACCCCTAAAAGCAGTTTTTTCAAAAATCTGATTTTCAAAGAGGGGGATGGGACAGTTCTTATCAATAATACCTCAGGTGATATTGATTAAAACAAAATGGTATAGTTCTAAAGGACTTACAATTGACAGACTAGTGGTATGTTAATTGTACTAATATTTCCTGTGCATTACTTTATATTTGTATTAATTTAATCCCCTATTATTTATTTAGTACAATCTTTGTGCATCATGATTTACAGAGAAACAACAATTTGTCATTTTCCAAATGGCAGATTTCAGACATTGAAGAAAAAGTATCTAAAGTGCTGATAGCTGACAATTAATTTTCTCGTAGAGGTCCAGAGCCACAAAATTATTCATAGCTTTTGCTGCAGTAGGCTAATCAAAATCCTGTAGTCCAATTTTTGAATTTGTTGGGATTCATATTGATGTGCTAACTTCCCACTGGCTGAAATCCTGTAGTGTCACAACTAGAGTGGACCCATTGACTCACTGGGGATTTAACAAGTCAACTCCTCTGTATGTTCCATTGATTCATTGGGTGTACACTAGTTGCAGTTTACTACTGGACTTCACCACTGGAACATCAACCCCACCCAAACACCCAATTTAAGTGAGAATTCCTCTTTTTATGGGGGGTATTGTCTACTAAGCAAGGAAGGAATGAGAGAATTTCATAAACAATTTTGTTTCCTCCTTTCCATGTTTCATTCTGTGCCCCATTCTGCGTGCACTTTTCCCTCTCTGTTAAGCCTCTCCTTTTCTTTTTATACCCACTAGCTTATTTTTCTACAACACAGTTTCTCATTGCCTTCTCTTTTTTATTTCCCTACCAGTCTCTTTCTCAGCTGCAATTCTTTTTACTATTTCATGTGCCCTGTACAGTCTAAGACAGTGGTTCTTCATCTTTTCTTTATCATGGACCCCTTTTAAATATCTTTTGTTACCACGGACCATCAAGACTTAACTCAAGATTTAAAACCCTAAAGTGCATCAAATATTGGTTTAAAGTTTCTTATGAAGAGTCTTACTGACAGATATTCCATGCTGTAATTGCAACACTTTTTAAGATGACTGGAAGAAGCTTCATTTTGCTTTGAACAGGATGCACCCTCATCAACAGCAACAGTTGTTTTACATTTCAAATTCAGCCAGCTATCCATTCTTAGGCTCAGCCAAAATGTATTGTTACAAATTTCACTAAGACAATATCAAAAAGTCACTTCACCTGACAATAGCCAGTTTTATTAGCAGACATCAAAGAAACATGATCACAAAGTCAGTCCGAACATCAATGCACACTGACAGTGACTAACTCAGACTCTCTCTTCCCACGGCTTTTGACTGTCTGTGGAGCAGCAAGAAATATCATGTGCTATCTCTCAGCATCATTCACTTGCATGTTCTCATCATGTGCAGAAATATCAAACAGCTATTAGCTACCAAACAGTTATTTTCATAACTGATTT